TGAAGACGGAGAACGACCACATCAACCTGAAGGTGGCTGGGCAGGATGGTTCTGTCGTCCAGTTCAAAATCAAGAGGCACACGCCGCTGAGCAAGCTGATGAAGGCCTACTGTGAGCGACAGGTGAGGGGGGCGTGCTTCTGGGACCTTGGCATAGACCCTTAAAGATTGACAGTGACTCTAGGACCCAGCCTGAGTGAGCCAGGACCACTGGTGGACCACTCGGAATGTCCTTGGACGTCCATTTGGGTCCTGTGCCCTGTAAACTGGTGTTTGCCCCAGAGGCTTGACCAGACTCAAGTTCAGTTTCACCCCTTCCTTTTCTGTCTGGCTGGTGTTGGTGATGGTGAGGGTTTCTCAGGTGTGTTAGCTCATTAAGGGTCGCAGATGGTGAGTTCTAGCTCGGCTCTTGCGTGCCTCTACACGGAGCAGCTGGAGCATGTCAGTAGCAGCGTAGAAAAGGCCAGAAAATGCTCAAGTTCCCAGAGTAAGGTGTTGGTTGGTTAGCCCTCTCCGTGGGGGCCATTTCGACTAATTCCCATTGGGTGTGACTGTTCATGCCACTCTGAACTCAGGGTTTTATCTTATTAGCTCCTCTCAGTCCAGTCCTGCATCCTACAGCCCCAGTGGTCTGGGTCACTCTCTCGCCGCCTCGCTGTGCGGCACAAAGCCCGGCTCACCTGTAACTTGCTCTGCCCCTTCCCCGGTGCCCTGCTCCTCAAAGGGGAGGCACGGCTCCACCGCTAGGTGCCAGCTGTGCACTGCCGCCTGCCTTTGTGTGCTTGGAGATGTGAGGGGTCAGGTGCCTCTTCATGCTGTCCTCTTGGCATTGCCTATTCTTGTCTCGGGGTTTGGGTTCATGAGAAACGTTCCTCCTCAGAGGCAATCCCTGTGGACCCTCTGTGATGATGAGAGCAGGCGGAGATGTCGTCTCACGTAGCAGAAATGCCACCGTGGCTGGAACGACCTGCTCTCAGTTGAGGGGTTGAGTCAGAACTGGGGATGTGGGGGAAGGCACTCCGTCCTCTCTGGGGAGAAATCCTTACTTCCTCCAGCTTCTCCCTCGCCCCTACCCCATCATCTCCACCTGACACCTATGCTTCTGTCAGGGCCTCACCTGCTCTTTGTCTCAGAAGGGATTGGGTTTAGATACTTTCCACACTGAAACCCCCTCATTAACAGACTGGAGACCGGAATCCTATCCTAGGTGGGCCCCTATCAGCATGTCTAGGGCTTAGGACACACACCAACCACACACCACACACACACACCGGCTCTGTCGTAGGCAGAAAGGCCTGCACTCTGTTTGCTAAGCAACACAGCCCTTACGGGGCGGGCACCTGCTCACCCAAGGCTGCTGTGAGTTGGGCTTGACAGACACCTAAGAACCACAGCCATCCCTAACCCGCTTCTCATCCTCCCGTGTGAAGGAGGAGGCTGGATTTGTAAATGCTGTGGCACACAGCCCGTGGTGTACTTCCCACACCCCGCCCCCTCCTCTCCCCAGTCGTCTTCCGTGGCTGCTGTTGATGCTGTCTGTGCCATCAAGGCCCCGTGAACCTGTCTCTCTCTGTCCCCTGTTCTGCATGTGTCCCCCATGGGACCAGGGATCTCCAGGCACTACCCCCCCCCAACCCCACATCCTACCTGGAGTTCCTATCCTGTCATTGTTTGTGATTGCCCAAAGTTCTTCATTCCTTATGTTTTCTTTAAATGTTCTTTTTCTTCCATGTATTATTTTGACAACTTTTTGTTTTCTGGATGTCATTTTGTTTCTTCTTATGTTAAACTCAAAAACTAAACCCACTGCCATTGAGTTGATTCTGACTCATGGTGACCCGATAAGACAGTGTAACTGTCTGTTTCTGGCCCTGTAATTACGGGAACAGCCAGCCTCGTGTTTATCCCGAGGAGCGGCTGGTGGGTTTGAACTGCTGACCAATACATGACACATAATGGCACCAGGGCTTCTCTTCTAACGAGGTGACTGACTGATTTCCTCCCAGGAGTCCTTTCTTTCTGCACTGTGGTTACTTACATATTTGAGCCTTTCCCTGAACGACTACCGGGTCTGGTTAATAGAACATATTGAGGAACTGTGTACTAAAGCCTGGAGTGTGTGTGAGGGGGTTGTTGCTCGCAGGCCTCCAGTGGCCGCCCATAGGACAGCAGTTCTCAACCTGTGGGTCGCAACTCCTTTGGGGACCTAACGACCCTTTCACAGGGGTCACCCGAATCATCACAGTAGCAAAATTACAGTTATGAAGTAGCAACAAAAATAATTTTATGGTTGCGGTCACCACCACATGAATTGTATAAAAGGGTGGTTGAGAACCACTGACATAGGGTGATCTGCCAGCGTGTGTCTCGGGGCACTGAGTTTCAGGGGTGGCTCCTGCAGGCTCCAGCCTGGGCTCTGTGTCAGTGCTGGGGCCTGGGGAATGTAGCTGGAGGGTAATGAGGTGTGGGTAGTGCTGCCTTCCTGGTACAGCAATTCCAAGTCCAGACCTGAGCCCATGCCTCCTACAGGTGGGCCTCTGCCGTGGGAGGCACAGTTGCTAGGCCTCTCTTGGGATTAGAGTCCTGAGTTGGTGTCTGCCCAGGACCTTCCAAGCAGTAGCCCAGAACCAGCTGCAGGCTGTACCTTGGCCTCTCAGGTGGAGACCCCTGATCTCTTGGGGCTCCATGTCCTGCTACTCCCACCCCCTCAGAGTCCAGTGTTCTTCAGACCACCCTATCTCCTGCTCTGTGACTTCGAGCTCTTGACCTCGATTGCTGTCTGGCCCCGTTCCATTCTCCCTGTCCTGTCCCTTTTGCGTTTGTGCTCTGTGACCCTCATTAAGCAGGGTTAGGATGGAGCAAGGATGCAGAGTTGGCTCTGGCTTTTGTTGCAGTGAAATCGGGATGCTGTTTTGATGAAGTGGTCATGGGCCCCACAGCTGCCATCTGCTCCCTGGGACACTGACAGTCTGGGCAGCTCCTTCTGGATGGAGCACACCTCTGCCCTGCTGCCCTTTCCACTCCCAGGGTCCTGCTGCGGCTTTCCAGATTGGTGCAGCCTCCTCATGAAACCCCCTGCCCCAGGCCGTCTGGTCTTTGGGAATGTCTTAAATGGGAGGGAAGGTGCTGCGAACAGTGTAGTTCTGCTGGGCTTCTGGAGGAAGCGGAAGGCAGAGGTAGACTTGACCGCAAGACCAGGGAAGCTGTCTGGACCGGGGCCTCCCCTGGGAGACTTTGTCATCAGCTGGTTTCCAAATCAGTATGTGTGAATGAAGCAATGCTTAACTATGTGGAAGTATTTACTGATAATTGTTTTTTTCTTTTCAGGGCTTGTCTATGAGACAGATTAGATTCAGGTTTGATGGACAGCCAATTAACGAAACAGACACCCCCGCCCAGGTATGAAAGCCATCATCATACTTATGACCCCACCCCTTTAGAAAAGCCTTGCTTGAGAATTCTTGAGGGATGCAATCATGTAGTCAGCCAAGAACAATTTTAATTAGTGGAGTATTATCTCTGAAGGGGAGTTTTTCAGATGAGGAAAGCCCACATTGTCAGATGTCATCCTTCTTGGACACTGTTGTTTGTCCACTTCGGTGGCTCCCCTGGGAAGGCTGGGCAGAAGGGCCTCCCCTTTGGTATTTAGACCATGACTTTGCAGCCTGGGCCACTTTATGGCTTGCTCATTGGCTGCTCCGGCCTTACGTCCACTAGGCTTGGATTGGGTAGAAAGGAGAACATGTTGCCACCCAGCAGTGCTCATCGACCTGTGCATCAGCAGGTAGCAGCACGTGCACACACCTCTAAGAGGCGCTGGGTCCAGTTTTGGTGCCACAGAGTTAAGGGAAGGGCTCTTTGGACCTAGAAGCAGAGGCTAAACCTCAGTGGTTGCTCTTGCCATCTGTTGGCTGGCTGGGTGACCTTGGAGTTGAACCACTGAATCTCTTAGGGTTTGGTTTCTCTAGCTGTGAAATGCAAATCCATTTTCCTCCCTCCTTTACAGGGCTGGGGACAATACTTGTGTAAAGCCCTTAGGGGCTTAATGTAAGGAGTCTTTATTTCTGCTCACAGTTAGGAGAGGGACTCTTCTTAGCACACAGTAGAGGCTGCGGAGCAGGCTCTGTGGGCAGGAGGCTGTGGAGGGTGGGGCAGGCTCTGGAAAGTGGGTGGGCTGGAACAGGAGGCGAAGGGCAAGGCCTCCTCAGCCCTCGAGCACAGCCTGCAGAGAGCCCAGCCTCACGGCACTCTACACCTGAGAAATGCAGCTGCCACCAGCCTTGGTCTTTGCGGATCAGCTGGCAGCTTGCTTTGTTGAGAGAATGGGGAAAGATGAGGGTGGGTGTTTTTGCTCCCTGCTGTGCCAGAGGAGGAGACTCGGTGGGGCATGCGTACATATTTCTGCTGGGTCTCTGCAGGAGATGGCGGGGCAGAGGGACCTACGCCGGAGCCCCCTTACTGTGGTGGGCCTGGCATGCTTGTGCTGGCTTTGAGCCTCACATGGGTGATGGAGGGCGATCCATACAAGTGCCTTCCCTGTGTTTGTTCCAGGCCTTGTGCTCCGAAGTCATCCATTTGTCACACTGCTGTGGAATTTGATGTTGTGTGACTCTCAGTAAAAACATTAGACATTTTACTCAGTTTATTTTTAAAGGGACCTGTTGTTCTCTGTCAGTTACTATTCGTAGCCTCGGAAATCATTTTGTGAACTTCCTTCTGGGAAACTTGGTGCAGAAACAGGGCTTATTAGAAAGCTAGATTAGAAGGCGGCTCCCTGCCCCTTACGCGTGCAGGAAAGGTGGGCAGGGCCAAGGCATGGTGGGACGGAGGGCTTCCTGGCCATGGGTAAGAGACAACTAACCAGACTCCCCTTTTTCCTGTGTCTGGCCCGCCGCCTTGACAGCTGGAGATGGAGGATGAAGACACGATCGACGTGTTCCAGCAGCAGACGGGCGGCACGTGGGTGGCTGGAGGCCTCTCGGGATGGGGCGTCTAGGTGCTGCCCCACATCCGTGTCACCTGTCCTTGCATTTGCGCTCTAGTAGGAAACACATGAACACGCCAACACAAAGGAGTCTGCGGAAACTCGAGGACAGTCACCAAATTACTTTTGTCTCTCTGACGTACCCGGAGAGCAACTCAACACTATTTCTGCAGGGATTAACCTACAACTGAAATTGGGCCAATATAAATCACTATCTTTGTTTAGGTAAAATGCATTGCTAGGTTTTTGGGCTTGTTTTTGTTATTGGTTCCCCTTTCTGTAACACTTCTGTTCCAAATGTGTGGCCTGCCTGTCTTGTCGGTGGAGATGTGGCCCCAGGTGTTGTGGTCCCCTCTCCCACACTGTTGCATCCAACCATGTAGGTGGCTCCTATGCGCATGTGCAGTGCTTTGGGTGCTGGGCCTGGACACCTGTTTGGGAGGGTCTGGTGGGGATGGAAGAGGGAATTTCACTGGCTGCTTGTTGTAAGCACAGTTTATTATGTTTTACCCACTGGTTGCAAATTTTAGCTTTGTTCAGCATCTGGTAAAGTCAAAAGGCAGATACTAGGATGCTGCTGCAAAGAGAAATCAGGGACACTGTGGGGCCCTTCCCTGGCATTTCCCCGCAGGGTTCTGGACCTAGAGTCCAGCACCACTGCTCAGGGCCTGTCGATCGGTGCAGCAGGCAACCACTGCAAAGCTTAATTGGTTTCTCCCCGTTTATTCATGTAGGAGACCACAATCCCCCTTTGGTCGCAGTATTGTGGTCTCAGTACCTCTGGTATCTGTTTCTGCTGAGTCATTATGGTCCCTGTATGAAAAGGCAAGATTCAGGATTGCCGAATTTGCGGTTCTGTTGTTGTGTTCAAGAGCTCCTTCGGGGTGTGGTGACAGATGAAGCCCATGGAAAGATGACTTCATGTGATTCTCACGGATTTTTGCTGTGCTGCTTTCCAAATAGGTATTGAATTTATATGCATTAGTTTGGTGATTTCAGTTCTGTGAACTCTTTGGGGATCTATACCAATCACAAAGTCTCATGCTGCCTGCCGGCCTGCAGTAAGGGTTCTTTGCTGCTTGGCAGCCATTCTCTGCTCTTTGTAGTCACCTGGTGGTGTGACATGACCCCTCATCTCTGGCTTGTGTGAAATCTTGCTGAAATGTTCTTGTTTCCTTTGCAGTTTGCTCGTGGGCAGGGGTGGGGTGTTTGTTGACTCTGATGTGTTTCTTCACCAATTTGTACATTATTTGTTGTCCTTTACTACTGTCAACAGTAAATATAGTTTGGTATTCTGTCTCTTGGCTTCTATTAAACATTGCATCTGAAGGCTGGGGACACGTCTGTCACAGTTCCGTGTCTCTGATACTCAGCAAGGACTCTCAGCAACCTTGATGAGAAAGCTCTCACCGAGAGGCAACTTGCCCCTGCAGCCCCTCTGCCCGCTGGAGCAGCCAGCGTCTCCTGCCCTCCTCACCAGGACTCTGGCCTCACGTGAGACCCACTGTGCCTCTCCTGGTGACTCTGTCAAGAGGCAGTGAGGGGTGGGGGGCAAATCTGGGTTTTCGTCTGGGGTAGGACGATGTCTAGTGGACATCCAGCCCACCTGTGTTGAATCAGACTCTCACAGCCCTTGAGTGGTGGGTACTGACTGGTCCTGCGGGACAGGGTAGAGCTGCCCCTGCGAGTTTCCAAAACTAACTGCCTTTCTCCTGAGGAGGGGCTGGTGGTTTCAAACTGTTGGCCTTGGGATTAGCAGCCCAACACATAACCACTGTGCCACCAGGCTCCCTGTTGAAACAGAAGGGAACCGATACCCATTCAACACCATTGCATCGCTTCAGACTCCTAAGCAAGCAACACTGCGCCATCTCGGCACACCGCCTGCCGTGGCAGCACCAGGACTGGCAGTGCTAGACCTGTTTGGTTCATAAGTTAAGGTGAGCACAGAAAGCTCTAGGGCAGTAAGGGACCCCAAGCTCGTCCATACTGGCCCTCAACTCAAACCACGACTAGGGCTTCATGGTAGACCGGGCTGACGAGAGAAACAAATCCAGAGACACTCATGTGTAAGAGAGCTTTATATCAAGGAGCAATTGTACATTGAGAAAACATCTCAGGCCAGTTCAAGTCCATAAGTTCGTTATTAGCCCATCTGTCCGATACTATTCCATAAACTACTCTTCAGGCTCACGTAGCCACTCAAAATGGTGCCAAATGCAGTGGGTGGAAAATCCTGTGGATTCACTGGCAGTGGAAGCATCTCAGTGCTGGTGTGGGTGTCCATGTGGCTCATGTGAGCTTTTCCAAAGGGCCCAAAAACAAGAAAAGGAAAAAAAAGGGTTTTCCAAGGGAAAAAAAATTCCCAGAAGCCTCATGCGAAGGCCACGCCCACAAGGAGACATCATCAGGCTGTGGCCTGATTGACAGGCTAGCCTCCACCTCTACACTTAATAAGTCGACTTGAAGTTCTGTAACGACCACGGGGTTAGAACAGAGCATGTTCTGGAGTAGGGAGTGATTTGCCAGGTGTGTTGGATGGGAGGTGGGAAGGGGTGGTTCTAATTCAGGCAAAGGTTAGAGAAGCAGAGGGTTGACTTGGCCGCAGTAGAGCTGTGGTGCTTGGGTGTCTACCTTACACACAGCTGTGGAGAACAGGGCAAGAAATTTCCAACTTTTCTGCTTTAGGGATTCATGCAAGTTGGGTGTCTGGGAGAAAAGATCTTTTAGTACTGATGTTTTTGAAAGCATAAACCTAGCTTAATTATCTTTGGGTTAAACTAATGTCTCCGAAAGATAAGCCTTATTTATCTCTCCATTAGCATTCCAGTTGAGACACTCAGTTTTAGTTCTGGAAAGTTCCACATTCTGGGAACCCCCTCAGTCCCAAGCAAACGAACTGTGGGTTCCCTGAGCTGTGCTGCACAGGTGATCAGTTTGAGAAGTGGTATTAATGTCAAAGCTGTCTCATTTAACAAGGAGCCCCAGTCACATGTGGGGTGACGAGATGGGCACTAGTCATGGGGTGACGAGCTTGGAACTACCAGTCACCCTGGGAGAAAGATGAGGCTGTCTGCTAGAGACTGACAGTCTCAGAAATCTGTAGGGGCAGTTCTGCTCAGGCCTACAGGGTTGCTTCGTGTTGCAATAGAATTCGTGGCAGTTAGAACATGTAATAGGTTAAGCTGCGAGGTCTTTTTTAATCTTCAGAATTTGAGTTACCCGGAATCTCAAAGATGTTTAATTTGCCCTGAACTTCCTGCACCACCACCCCCGCCCCCCGCCCCCCAGTGTCTGCTGCTAAGGAAAGCCATGAACTATCACCTGCCTGCCACTGAGAACACTTGGACAACCAATAACTGACCAACTAAGCTTAGAGTTCCTCGAGTTAGCAATAATTGAACACATCGCAGTTGAATTAGGTTTTCCGATGACAAGTAGCTAGAGCAGTGGTTCTCAACCTAGTGCTGTGACCCTTTAATATAGTTTCTCATGTGACCCCCAGCCATAAAATTATTTTCGTTGCTACTTCATAACTGTAATTTTGGTACTGTTGTGATTTGCAATGTAAATATCTGATATGCAGGATGTATTTTCATTGTTACAAATTGAACCTAATTAAACATAATTAAATCACAGTGATTAATCACAAAACAATATAATTATACATTGTGTAATATTTACGTGTTTTCCGATGGTCTTAGGCGACCCCTGTGAAAGGGTCCTTTGACCCCCAAAGGGGTGGATGAGAACCGCTGAGCTAGAGCTTGAGGAAGTGGGGTCAGGACAGGAACCATACAAGGGTAGTTCTCTGAAGATACTCGCAGCAGGTATACACCGATACATGCGTTGCTTGTTTGAAGCTCCTCCTAGCTTGGGTTTCTGCTACACACTCACAGTCACTGCAACAGTCGGGTGAAGGGCACCCTCTGCACTGCTTTCGGAGACATTGTCAGGAGGACAGATTCAATCGAGACATACCAGGAATATTCGAGGCTGCTGGTTGGCGTGCCACAAACTTCACAGGGATAACCTTTTGCCACCTGCATTTCCTTTATTTGAAAATGTGGGATTATTTTTCTTTAGTTGAGTGGGGTGGGAAGGCCACCCTCTGACCCTCATGTGACCAAAGGACGGTTCTGTGGACTGGTTTGGGACTTGGGATGCGTTTTGTCATTGCAGGGGAGAGCTGCTGTCTGGAGTGGAGGAGGGGCGTCAGCATTTGCAAGTCGAGTTTTCCTTGATGCTGCTTCAGTGTCTTCCCTGAGGACGCCATCAGCTAACAGCTAGCCAACTCTGGCAGTGAGTTTGGTTCGGGTGGGAGAAGCCAGCCAGCAGCAGCCCTGCAGGAAAGTGGCCAGGGGTCTGGGATGCTGGAGCCTGTCCTAGACCACGCTCCAGTGTGGACTGCAGGGAAGTTGACTTTTATTCATGAAAATTGGAGTGGCAGAGTATCAATAATGATCTGAGATCTTTTAAGTGGGCCACACCTGTTAGGCTGAAAACAAAAGAAAGTCAAATTAAGAGACCACTGTCACAACCCAGAGGATTGTCTTCTGTAAAAGCACGTACCTTACATAGCCACAAGATACCTAATGTGCTTACTCTTCCTTGCAATCAATACGGATGTGAGTTCTGAGGAGCATACATCTCTGCAGGTCAACCAGGAGTAGAACCAGTGCATCAGAAAGGGCTCATTGGTTATAGGGATCAATGGGGGGAGCAAAGGCAATGAGGGAGTTGCCGATGAACAGTCACTTGGTGCTCCTGAACTGCACGGGAGGGGGTGCCCAGGGGGCCGGTTGAGCTACACAGGGAGCTGTGAAGAAGCCTGCTGCCTTCTGCTTTCGGTGGTGACCTTGGGGTCACCGTCAGCAGAACCATTTAGGGATGACTGCGCTACAGCGTACCTGATGTAGAACTGCAGAGAAGTCCTGGGAATGTGTTCAAGACTAGCCACTTCGAATAAAGGCTGAAACGTGTTCAAACTGGTTCATTCAAACTCCACAGATATACTGAATTAGAATCACCTGAGGATGTTGTTCAAAACAAGGTTCTAGAAAACAACAAAAAACATGGAAATTGATTTGGTGATACTTAAAACATGGAAATTGAGCTTCCCTATGACCCAGCAATCCCCCTACTGCGCATATACCCAGAAGAGGCAAGAAACAGACCACGGCCACTCATCTGCATTCCAATGGTCATCTAGGCCCAGCTCAAAATCGCAGAGTTGGAAACAACCTAAATTCCCTCAAGAGATGAGTGGATTTAAACATTCTGGTACATACACACAACAGAGTACTACGCATCCCTGAAAAGCAGTGATCAACACATGAAGCACATACCTCATGGAAAGAGTTGGAGGAAATTAAGCAAAGAAAGCCAAGCTCAAAAGGACAAGTATAACATGAGTCCACTGAGGTAAGCTTAAATAGCACAATGGGCATTGGGAAAAGCTACTAAATGCATGAATTCCTGGGGCGAGGTCCAGACACTGGCAGGGGTCAGACCCAACCCACAGATACATATGGCAGCCAACTAAAAAGGACGGGAAAGAAGAAGGAAAAAAACAGGACCTGGGGAATAGGGCACTAACCCAACCGTGGGGAGGGTATTGTTTACGTCTCCACAGGACAGGAAGGGAACAGACCTCATCCCAGTGTGCCAAGCCTTGAGGGCAACCTACCTACATGGAGCACCAAACTAATAGGTCTACAGGCCGGTCCCAATCCCAGTGATGCTGACCTCTCCCCAGAAGAATGCAGTACAGAGGACAATACTGAAGACATAGCCCTGGGAGAGGAGCAGGTCTGCCCAGACCACAAGGGAGCAAACGAAGGGAGAGACAGAGAGAGTGGACTGCATCCTGGCCCACCAAGCCTCGAGGATGACATTCCTGCTCGGAGCAGCCAATGCACAGAGGACCGTGGGGCTGGCCCCACCATGAGACACAATGTCCCCTCACCCACAGCACTGGAGACAGTGGGAATTTTGCCAGGTCTGACAGTCGCCCCTTCCCCCAATGGGGCAAAACACGAAAGAAGTGCAACAGAGCAGCAAGGGGAGCAAAGCATTAACATCCCCAAGGAATCCCCAGAATGGATTTCTGACTCGGGCAGGCCTTGGCTCCTCATCAGACCAGATGGGAAGCTACTTTGGAAACCTCAGTCACAGGGCACCCCGTGAAGAGCACAGTTCGCATCCATGCCACATGAGCCACTGTGGGTAGGAATTAACTTGATGGCAATGTGTTTTGTTTGGGGTGGGTGCTAGGAAAGGAACAGAGGAAGTTCAAT